AGCATGAAAAAAGATGTTGTAAAGTTTGTGTTTTCTTGCTTAGTTTGTCAAAATTCGGAGATAGAACATCATAAGCCATATGGATTGATGCAATGATTGAGTATCCCTGAGTGGAAGTGAGATAGCATCTATATGGATTTCGTGGTGGTTTTTCCTAGAAATGCTAAAGGGTATGATTCGATTTGGGTCATATTTGATAGGTTAGCCAAATCATCTCACTTTATCTCAGACAATGTCACTTACCTATTAAAGAAGTCTTCAGATATTTATATAACTGAAATAGTGAGATTTCATGGGATTCTGTCTAGCATAGTTTCAAATAGATATCCTAGATTCACATTGATGTTTTGAGAAAGTCTACATAAAGCTATGGGAACCTAGTTAAGGTTGAGTTCTTCCTATTATCCGGGAATGGATGGTCAGATGAACTGAACTATCTAATCCTTGGAAGATCTTTTAAGAGCATGTATTTTAGAATAAGGAGGTAGTTGGGATAGTTATTTACCACTTATTGTATTTACCTATAACAATAGTTTCCACTCTAGTATTGGAATGTCACCTTTGGAAGTGTTATATTGTATAAGATATAGAACGCTCATGTGTTGGTATGAATATGGTGAAACTATCGTGTTAGAACCTGAAGTAGTTCGGTGGACTATTAAGAAGGTTAAAATGATTTAAGGAAAGATGAGGACATCACAAAGAAGGCAGAAAAGTTATCACGACAAATGAAGAAAAGCCCTAGAATTTCAAGAAGGAGATCATGTGTTCTTGAGAGTCACTCAATTGACTGGGGCTGATCGGGCATTAAAGTCGTGAAAGCTTACTCCTATTTTTATTGCTCCTTGTCAAATTCTTAGAAGAGTCGGCAAAGTCGCCTACCAAATTTCATTACCCCCATCTCTTTCAAATCTCCAGTGTCTTTCATGTCTCTCAACTTTGTAAGTATATTTCTGATCCATCGCATGTGATTCAATTGGATGATGCGCAAGTTAGAGATAACTTAACTTATGAAACATCACCCTTGTAAATTGAAGACTGAAAGGTGAAACACTTGAGAGAAAAATAAATTCATTTGGTTAAGGTCGTATGGGGTTGAACTGTTTATAGGTGTGTGACTTGGGAACGCTAAAAATCCAAATGAAGGAGTCTTATCTAGACTTGTTTGGTTCAGGTAAATTTTCGAGGATGAAAATTAAATAAGTGAGGGAGAACTGTAACACCCAGTAATTTATTCGAATATATTTTATTAATATTTCAATTTTGGTGTGGTTCATGATTTTGTTATTATCATATTATTATCCAAGAAGAAAATATATATGTTGATTTTATTATTAAGTGAAAGAACCAGCGAAAAATCATCTAAGAGAGAATCAATGAAGTCGTCATCGAGTATTTATTTATCCCACATTAAGGAAAAGGAAAATCTTCGTAGAATAACCTGAGAAGGGAGAAGTTACGATCTTGTGACAAAGAGATCGAATACGGGAGTCAATTGCGCAAAGAAAATATATTAGCATCCCTCACGTCTGTGGCACTCCACGAGATTCACTCTTGTTGTTCTAATTAAAAGACGTGTTCTATCAAAACACTAATCAAGCTAAAGGAAAAATACATGTATGTAAAGTGTATATACAAAGAAAAGGGTTTTATTAGTCGTGCTTGTCGCGGTTGTGAATCTTTGTGTCTATGTACCCCGTCGGTGCAATGAGAGATCAAGACACTCACAATTCATCTCAAAAAATTTGATGTGTTGTATATTTTTTTATGAACAATGACAATTTCGCATTCTACCACAGCTCGACCTTTGGAGACTCACGCATTGTAGTAGAAAGAAATTAACATGTTCTTACATGAAAAAGGTTTTTAAAGAAAAGAGGCCCGAAGGCAAAAAAAAAGTTTAGATTGGTTAGTATTTTTTATATTGAGAAACGATTTAAGTATGGTTAGAGTATTTTATGAATTTGTCAAAGAAAAAGGATTTTGGTTTTAGTTATGCAAAAGGGGAATAGAAAAAGTCTAAAGGGGACTAACCTATTTCTATACCTAGTGTTACTATACAATTATGACCCTAAAATTTTAATAACAAAGGGAAATCTCTATCTAAATTAGTATGCATGGTTAACAACCTAATGTCTATCTTGAATCGTCGCCAAAGATTGAAACAAGAGATCCTAAAGGAACATGGCAAAGGTTCAAACCTAAAGAAACACACGCACACGTGTGATCACACAAAGTCGAAACCAAAACAAGCAAGCAAAGCTTGAGGAGTATTCATTCACTCAAGTAGCACACACCTAATCGAGGTATTATGACACCAAGATAGAATAAGGAGAGGGATACCTAACCACGATATTGAATCATCGAGGTAGGATAATGAAAGTGGGACACCTAACCATGATATCAAATCATCAAGGTAGGATAAAGGGATGCTTAGCCAAGACATCGAATCGTCGAGACAAGTGAAATGGTGGAATATTGACTCTTAACCGTGATATCAAAGCATTGAGGCAAGAAAGAAAGGGGTGTCAACTCTTAACCAAGATATCACATAATTAAAGCAAGAGAATAACAAAAGTGAATCGTCATAAGTGACTAAACACTTAACCAAAATATCAAAAATCGAGATTGGAGATAGAAGGCAATAATGAGATCACATCAAAACATCAATGTTTCACAAACGCGAACTAAAGACAAAGTGTGGGGATTGGTTACAGATTCGTGTATTCCACTTCACCGACTCGATAACATAAGCAGCACGGTTCAAAGCATCAATGCAGAGCTCGAGCTAGGAACGACACGGACAAGAAATAGCGGGGTCGATTGCGGACCCTATGTTCGCTTATGCCTCCTTTTGAGGACTTATCAATGGGAAATGGGAATAGGACACTTTCATCGAGGTCTTTGGCATAAATTTAAACACAGAATGGTGAACAAACAAGCACAAGTAGAATTGCCTTAAACAAGTCTTTAAATAAACCAGATTTGCCTCGAAGGGACTCCCAGAACATGCATCTTTATCCTACTTCTCATGGCGTCAGAAAAACAGTAAATAATCATGCATCTCTATTCATACTTCTCATAGAGAGGAATTGAAAATACAATGCATAATGTAAACATAATCAAAAACAATACCAAACAAATAATAATGTCTGTAGCAAAGCACAATCAAAGCGAAAGAAACCCGATAGTCTTCGTGAAAGCTTCACCAAGCAAAAGAGAAATAATCAGAAAAGATATTCAATATAAGAATCAAGACATCGTTGAGTGAAAATAAATCACATGCAGAAAGTGCGTCAGATAAGCTCAAAGTGTCGACGAAAACCGAGATATCAAATAAAGATCTCTGCATCAAATAAAAAAAATCCAACAGACAGACAAAACCAATAAAAGAGAAATAATTCAAACATTTCATGTGAAATAAGAATCGAGCTCAAGCGGACTGGAAACCTGAATCAGAGTTATGTGAAATATGAAATATGGAATGGATGTTTAATTAATTAACTTAAAAGTTAATTAAGTTAATTAATTAAGTTAAGAAAAATTAATTAATCGAAACTAATTAATTTTTAATAACAAAATCAAATGATCAAATCGACTTTTAGTTAATTAATTAAAAACAATCAAGTATCATGCAATGAAAATTTAATCGATTAATCAAGAGTTGATCAACTTAATTAATCGAGTTAAGAAAAATGAATTAGTAAACTAATCTATTTTAATAGCAAGATCAAGTAGATAAATTAAAACTCGATTAATCAATCAAAAGAGAATAAAAGGGGAAGAGAAAATAGCTATTTGATCCGTCTTGAGAACCTTGCGTAAAGTGTAAACAAGTTAGTAATCACAAGTAAAAGTGTAACTAAATGAAACTTGCATGATGCACATGAACAATTCAAGAATCAAGCAATCGATTATTCAAGTATTTCAATTCACAAATGAACTAAAACCAAAGAAACTCATGCTATTATTCAATCCAATATTCAAAGCATAGGGAAATGATTTCGAAACAAGTTAAGATCAAACAATCAAATCCGGGCAGCAACTAATGCACATGAAACAACGTTCAAAAACTCAATCTCGAAAGTATTCAAAACAAATGAAATATGCAACGATGCTTACAACCAAATTTTCCTTGGAATTCCAACTGAATGTCATCATGATCTCTTTCAAATTTGCTCAAATAACATGATAAAATTAAACTCAATCAAAAATTTAATCGAGTAAACCATTCTGGGCAGAACTATATGAACGAAATAGCGCTCCTGAAATATACAAAAAGTGCTCAAACACAATCAAAAAACCAAAGATATCACATTCCACATTCAAACCCAAGCTCAAATGTAACTAAAAGTAACCAAAAAATCTCTTTCAAGTCCATTCAAAGCATCGCAACATAACAATCAAAACTAAAATCAATCAAAATAATTCCATTGAACCAACATAAACCGAATCGAAGGCTACAAATGTATGCATTCGTACGGTTTTCGAAATCCAAATTGAATTTAAATTTTGAAATCGCAACGCAATAGAAAGACAACATAATACACACATCAATCATCACACTTCAATCAAAAGCAAAACAAGAAATACTAACATGATGTCGATTGCAAATCGAATTCGAAGCAAAGTAACAATTAAGCATGACATATTAGCTTCGTTCGGACCCGAATTGAATGATCAAAGATTCTAAACTTTAACAAAATCAACACAAGCGGGAAAGGGGCGTACTTTTTTCACTCAAATTCAAAACAACAATAAAAATAAACCGGCTGCCCCTCAAGGTTTCTCGGTTAGATTTACACACAAATAAACGCGGCATCATCGTCACCTTCATCGAAACTTAACCAATCACAACCAGCAACAATAACCTATTGATTACCTATTCATCACAATACTAAGCACTTCCACAATTAAAATCAGCAACAAGATTCATCATCAAACTTCCAACAATAAACCCAGCAACAATGTTATCATCAATTTGAATTGACAACAATAGATTAACACAAAACAGTCACATAACCACGCAAATCAGCAACACGATCCATCATCAAGCTTCCAACAATAAACCCAGCAACAATGTTATCATCAATTTGAATTGACAACCCTAGATTAACACATAAAGTTACATGACCACACAAATCGCAAACAATTACAGTGATAACATCAAAGTTTACCGAAGTTTTACCGAAATGTGTCGAGGGAGCGCAGACTGAACCAAAGACGTGAGGATCTGTTGATTCGTGTTGCCTCGAAATTGCAGTTGCCGTGTGTACGCGTAACCTGAGATTGAGCAGTCTGTTGTCGCGGAAACAAGTGGTTGGAGGCGATGTTGGCTCGCGGAGGTTAGTGATGAGCAGGCGGAAAACGGCGGAAGCAGTTGAACAGAAATGCTTGCGGAAGTTATGCGAACTGGTAAAGATGGTGATAAAGTTTTGTTGTGTGACGAAGAGATTGCTGCGGACAAAGGGAGGTTGCGCTGTGGGGTATGGAGGTTTGGCCGGCGGAGATGAAAGAGATTTGAGGGTTAACAGCTGAGATTGCCGGCAAGGTGATGATTGGAAGAAGAATGGATACGATGGCAAGTTGTTCGACGAAGGGAGTATCAGTTTTGGTATCAGAAATTGGGACGGACAGCAGGTTCGTTGGTGTTGTTGTTAAGGAGAAAGAAGGGGTTCTGATTTACGGATGAAGCTGATTGTTAGCTGGGGGTAGTGAAACGATGAAAGTTGGGAGATGAAGGAATTGACGGAGGGTGTATTGCTGAGATTGAGGGATGTTGAACAGCAATAGGTTTAACGGCGATAGTGATGAGCAGTTATGAAGCTCGCGGAAAGTATGTGGCTCCAGAGGAGGTTGTATTGGTGATGAAATCATAAAGGGGAAGCGGATTCAGAAGCTTGAGAAAGATGAAGAGAAGCGTTTTTTTTTTTATCATTCCTCGATCTCTCTTGAGCGCAGCTTCTACCCCTTCCCGTTACCCCCACACCAACAAAGCTTATCCAATCTTTTAGGTCATAGCAAAATTCCCAAAAAGTCCTTATTCTAGATATTTTGAAATATTAAAGTTATTCTCAATAAAATTAACAACAAATTTTTATAGGCACAATCTTTATAATTCTAAATTAAAGTTTAATTAATTAAAATGAAAAATACATACTTTTTATTAGGGGTGTTCAAAACCAAACCGGCCCAATAAAAAACCGCAAAACCGAACCAAACCAAACCGAAATCGCAAAAAATCGTATTTAGTTCGGATGTATTTGGGTCATTTTCTCGCAGAACCGCACGGTTCGGTTTGGTTTGCGGTTTATATTTTACAAACCAAACCAAACAAAACTGCATTATGTTATAAAATCTTACTAACCAATATATATTTCTTTAATTCTTTAGAGAAATAAACATGTATTATGTGTATATTTTATCATACTTTGTATTATATTCATTTTAATTTACAAATCATAAAAAAATAAAATATTATTCATTTATAAATACTATTTTCACAAAATATATTTTATCGTATTCTTTGTATAATATTTATTTAAGAATGCAATCTTGTTTATATCATTCTTTAGATTTAGATAAAATTATAATACGCAATTTTATGTATCAAATTATAAACTTATTTTGACAATTATAAATTTTTTTATGGTAATGTACGAACAATTAAATACAAAATTATATTTTCCTCTATATTTGTTTGTATGACTTAATAATTTTTTTTGTAAAAAACCGAACCAACCGAACCAATCCAAACCGCATTAGTTTGGTTTGGTTTGGTTCGGATTTATTTTTAAAAGCCAACGGAACCAAACCGAACCGCATGTTTTTTTCTCTTGCGGTTCGGGTGATTTTTTGCTTCAAAACCGCCCAAACCGCACCGCGAACACCCCTACTTTTTATATGAAATAAAAGTATAATGACTAAAGAATTTGAAACCTCAATTTGAATTGAACTTTGGATGATCACAAGGATCACAATATCATGAATTGCAAATCGATAGTTTATAAAGATTCTACGGATTTCATGGCTTTCTGGGTATAATCTGATTTTGATTCTTGAAGTAAACTTGTAGATAATATCATTTGTCGATACTGTGCCAAAAAGAATCGTTCCAAGATGTTAAAAATCGAGAAAGTTATGATCCTTGAAAGTCGGACAATAATCAACTGAAATTAAGTCAAAATCCACAAAATGACCTCTAAAGTATTCAAATTATTGATGATCTTCTACATATAATTAGATCTTGACTTGAACCGAAAAATTCGAGAGAATGTCAAGGAGATTATTATGCCCAAAGAATCGCTAAAAAATACTGAATAATGAATAAGTTATGATCATTTAAACACAAACTTGCAAACGTTGACTTTTGGTCCACCAAAAACTTTGAATCAACTCGCGAATTTGATCCTTTTCCCCAACCCAAGGCACACTTAATCACATATGAACTTGAGATGATGAAATCTTGATTAGACCAGGTTTAAACTTGTCAGAATCTGAGATTACCCATCGAAGAAGGCATGGAAATAAACACATGAACCTATCTCGAAGAGCCTCAGAAAATAAGCAACCAAACTCGCCTTAACCATATTGGATGAAGCTTGAAGACAACGCGGTCATGATGCATTGTGATGCTATGAAATGACAGAGAATATTAGGGGCAAAAATTGGGGTATAACATTAAGGAATTATTATTGTCATTAATATGATGTCCTATTTTCCCCTACAAGATGATGGTTCATAGATACTAAGTTATGAATCTCTCTCTTATAATCAATGGTTCAACTCCTATTATGAAAATAGAAATTTGTGTAATTAATGGGAAAAAGAAGTTGGAAAGTTAAAGTTAGTGGGGGAATAAGGAGAGTCAAAGGGAATTAAAATAAAAATCTGAATGTTTAAATATAGAAAGGGAAGTGATAAAGAGAAAGAAAGAGGAAAAATATTAAATCAAGGTGAAAAAGGTAGAGAAAAAGGAGAATACATATCTTTGAGAAGAAGAAGCCTAGTTCTCCAAAGGGATCTTCTCTTTCTTCAAAATCTGAAAGAAATACCTCAATTCACCAAGTGAATCATAGTAGAGATTATGTAAAGGAAGAATTCCACCACTGTTAGGAGATTCAGGAAGAAATTATACACTAATAAGGTAAGAGGGAGATTGTTCTATAAATTTTCTATTTTAGCGTTTAGGGTAGTGGAGTTTCACTTGAACCCATAATTATCTAAGTTTCCATGTGAATTTCCCCTACAAGATGATCGTTCATAGATACTGAGTTATGAATCTCTCTTATAATCAATGGTTTGGTTTAAGTGCAGAATTTGATGTGTTTTTTCATGAATCTTATGTTTAAATACCAATATCATGTGTTGATTTAATGAAGATGGGTTATGATGTATTAATCATGTTTAATTGATGAAAATTTGATGTTAGAATGTGTTTTAGATTGTGATTTCGAAATTATATTGAAACATGAGTTTTGGAAATGAGTTATAAGCAAAAAAAAAAAAAAGGGTATTTTTCGGCTTTGGTGTCGTGGTAATCGATTACCATATATTGGTAATTGATTACCTGCATAAAATTGGTTTTAAGGTTGTTTATGAGGCTGGTAATCAATTACCACATGTAATCGATTATTGCATACTAACATAATTTTTTCAAGTAGAACCAAAAATAGCATATCTTGAGTCTCGTAACTTAGAATAAGATGTGGTTGGATGTGTTGGAAAGCTAATTAAAAGAGATATCATATAAATTAGTAATATAATATTTATGTACATGTTTGCTACTTGTGAATTGACCATGAATTTCATGCTTATGTGTGCCATGTTAATTGATAATGGAAACTTAATGAATTATATGTTATTATTATATGATGATAAAACCTAAATTAGTATGATTGTATGTATTATTGGCTACGTTGTGATTAATAAATAATTTTAAAGTGAACCTTAGCACACGAGTCCAATGTTTTGATAAAATACTTGTTATGAATCATGATGTGAATGATGAATGATTGTGAGAACACTCTTAGGACATGAGTCCAATGCTTTGATAAAATAACGTGGCAAATCAAAGTAAATATGTAGTAAATTATGAAGCCCTAATGTGGCAATTATGTCGAAGGTTCGATGAGAACCAATGTGGATCCCTAATGTAGAAATCAAACTAAATGTGTGATAAACCCTGTGGAGACCCTAATGTGGTACTTGAAGTTAATATGTTTCAAATATAGTTTAGAGTTTTTGATGGGAATTGTGTTTATATAATCATCACGCATAATACTATATCGAAGTAGTTGTAATCTAGAGAGAGAGTGTAGTACGACGTAACTCGTATATACTCATATACATTTCATGTATACAAACGTCTAGAAAAGTGGCGTACTACGGGTGTAGCTCGCATGTACTCTTAGAAGTAGAGTTTAGTGAATGGTGTTAAAGTGAATACATAACTCACATGTTCTCCTAGACATTGTAGATTCTACGAATGTCTAGAGAGTGTTTTAGTGTGATATGTAGCTCATGTTCCCTCCTAAACTATTAGAACTCAAGAAAATAAGATCTGAGATTAGTGATGATACCACATGCATTGGAGCAGGGGAGAAGTACATTGCATAAGCATTCATGTGCATGTTGTGTAATGTCATAGGATTCTATGAAATATTGTAAGATTGTGTAATATTGTATGTATTGATTTATGTTCCCTTTTGTTGTTATTATACCATGTATTTTGTATAATGTATTCTCACCCCTTTTTTTCTATGTTCTCCAATGTGGATCTTGTAACGCCCTGATTTTGTTGAGTTATTTTATTTAAAATTAATTAAGTGATGTGATGTATTTGTGTGTTTTAGTGAGTATTTTGTTATTTTGTGATTCATTTGTTGGGAATTAGATACCTTAGAAATTATTAGAATTGAGATGATAGAGGGTGTATGATCAGGAGTGTAGAAACATGAGGTGTAGAGAGATAACTAGCTATTAGCATTATTTGAATTAAAATATTAGATTTAATACTATAGTATAATAATTAAATAAATATTGTTAGTAGAATAATAGAATTATTATTTATTAAGGGCAAGGTTGGTATTATGATTAGGGGTCCTTGGAATAAAATAGAGTGAGAATAAAGAAGAGAAAAAAATAATGTAGAAAAACATAAAAGATCGTAGAAGAGCGAAGCATAGGAAAAAGGCTAGGGCAAGAAGGTTCACCGTAGGAAGTCAAGAATCAAAAAAATCTAAGGTAATGGTGAGGTTCTAACTCTATAACGGATTACATGATGATGGTGAATGGTAGCGATTAGGTTCTATGATTGTATGTTCTTGATTTCTCATTACTATTGCTTTGTGGTGTTTTGTATTTTGATGAATTGTTGATTATAAATCTTATGAAATTGGTTAAAATTGTTGATGTCAATTATGTTGGAATGATGGGTATGGAGTGTGTGTTTTATGGAATCATATCATACTAATTTGAATTGAAAATTGGGATCTTTTAGGGTTGATTGGAACATGAATCGTGTTCTAGAAAATAGCAAAAAAAAAATTGTTCTGCGAAGTAGAAACTAGTTTCTAGTTTTTGGGAAACTGATTTCCGCATGAGAAATTGCAAAAGAAACATGTTTCTGTCTGAGGAGAAACATGTTTCCAGTTTTGAAGAAATTGGTTTCTTCAACATATTTTGTCATGCGGGTTACTGTAAAAATGAAGAAGCGGGTTTCCAATTTTAGGGAAACTGGTTTCTTGTCTGTATTGAACCAAAATGTTTTTGAAACTTTGAAAATCTGTAACTTTGACTCGGGTGTTCGTTTGACGCGCCATTTGGACCAGTACAAAGCTTAAATGATTTTCTATCCTATAGAAGTAAATTGTAAC